GCTGGAAACCACATCCCAACAAACCAGCTTGACCGACTCCGACAATCATTTGGGGCTCAGGACAGGGGCAGGGCACGGAGGGAAAAAAAATCACAAACTCTGCAGTGCCCCGGAGGTGTGGAGGCCGATGGGGCAGGGCTGGGCTGGGTCTGTCTCCCTGGGCAGGAGGGGAAAGGACCCCCTCCCATTACGGGCAGGGGCTGGGCACACGGCAGTGCCAGCGTTACCCAGCTCAGGAAGGCGCAGCTCCGAGTGGCACTTAGGGGCGACTGCGAGGGATGGAAGGGGAACCTCTCCCTGACTGACAACAGCTTTTCACCGCTCTAAAAACAGAAGGGAGGCAGCTCTGTGTCAGCACAGCATCGTACCCCAGGTACAGAAAGAAAAATCTCTATAAGAACCAAAAAATGTCAAATTTGGAAACTCTCAAAGTACTCAGGGAGGGTACAAAGGAGAGACAAGACCCAGACCTACCTCCCACATCCAAGTCCACTTTGTAGTTGAATAAATGGGTGCGTATCGTACCCAGCGTGTGCTCCCAAACCCTATTGCCGTATCTCAGACCATCGCCATGGAGAAAGGATGAGCTCAGGTACCCCGTGGCCTGGACCTTGCCTTCGATGGCCCCGTTCTGGTAGAAGATGAAGTCCCACACGTAGTCGTAGTTGCCCACGGTTGCAATGGACCGAACGACCAGAGCAGAGTTGACCAGGCCCCCGTAGTAGAGCGACTGCAAGTTGGAGTAGTGGCGCCTCAGAGGGGAGCCCAGGTTCTGCTCAAAAATGCAGAGGGCATTTTTACTAATTCTAGGGACCTGGGAATGAGCAAGGTAGTGCACATCCAGGTACATCGCTAAATATGGGCAGTCGACCCCTCGCACCAAGGGGGAGGTGTAGCGCCCGATGCCAAAGCTCCCGTCCATGTACCTCGTTGACATCCCTCCGGGGCAGTTGGAGCCATACACTGACAACGCTTCTTGGACACTGATTTCATAGGCAACCCTCTCCCCCTTGTGTCGGATGTCAAACAGGCGCAGGCCCGTGCTCACGCTCATCCCAAAGGCAAAGCTCCATGCCTGGAAGAGGACGTGGTTGTTCCTGACGCTGTAGCGGGGACCCTGGGGCTCGTACTGCAAAGGGAACAGCGCAGCCGAGGGCGCTCGGGGCTTCATGGACGAGAAGTCCCCATCCCACGGCGCTTTCCTCACCTTCTCCACGCTGACGCGACCCTGCACATAGGCACTCTCCAGCTGAACCATGTCCCTGTAGTACTGCCCGTTGTAGAAGACCCTGCTCACTGCCCACCGGGAGATGTCCAGGCTGCTGTGGTCCACCAGCACCTCCAGCCCCACCGGGTGCACAAAGAACCCGCTCACGTTCTGAAACA